ATCTTAGAAATAAAAGCTGGTCCGTTTTGACTACCTTTACCACACCCTCGCCTCTGTTGGGTTTCTGTGAGCTCTGCTGTTAGGGTTTCCTTATGTAAGTGAGATCACACGGTGTTTGTCTTTCTCTGACTCCTCTCACTTAGCACAACATCCTCAGAGCTCATCTGTGTTATAGCAAATGGTGAGATTCCCTTCCTTCTCGTGGCTGAATTATATTCCATAAATGCACCACATTTTCTTTAGTTTTTTATCCGTGGACACGTACGTTGTTTCCATGTCTTGGCTGCTGTGAATGACGCTGCTGTGAATGTGGGGGTGCAGCCATCTCAGCGTCAGTGGTTTCTTTTCCTTTGGGTCCATGCCCAGAAATCGGATTGCTGGATCATACGGTAGTTGTATTTTAATTTTTAGCTTTCTGAGGAACAGGCAGCGGTGGTGTTGGAGGCAGGATGGAAGAGGGAACTTTGGGAGCAGAAAGGCAGAAGACCAAGTGTGGGGGGTGGGGGTATGCCGGGGTCGCTGCTGAGCCACGCTAGGAGTCGACGTCCACCCCGCAGCACACATCCCAAACCCCGTTCCTGAACTGCTCCCCACAAGCCTGAACCCAACTGGTCTTTCCCTCTCAGAGTCCGCAGCTTCCCTCTCCACAGCTCCTCTTCCACAGACATCCCCCTAGCCAGCCGTCAGCAAACTCTGACTCCTCGAAAAGTGCCCCACGCCTCGTTTCCACCCCTACCACCCAGGCTTGTGGTCACCTGCCTGACCTCCCGTGTCCTCTCTTGACCCCCACGGTGGATTCCAGGGTTGGAGTCTTAAAACAGGCTCACATTATGTCATCCCCTGTCCCGTCCTCTTCCAACCTGCCTTTAGGATATCGCCCAGAGTTCTCCCCAAGGCACAAGGCCCTCCCTGAGCCAACCCCTCCTGTCCCCACCCCTTGCCCCCCAGCTCCCCTTGCGCTGCAGCCCCCTGCAGCTCCTCCAGCACCCCAAGCCCACGGGCAGCGAGGGCTCTTCGGCACTGCATCCCCCACCAGGAATGCCCTGCACTGAGGCCTCCCCAGGCTGGTTTCCTCCCCACTCCCCCCTACTCCTGCTGGGTTCCGGGCCGGAGTCTGTCTCCCTGTCTCCTGATGCTTTCTCTTCCCCTCAAGCCGTACAACAGGGTGTCTGCCACTTACCCTCCTTCTTCCGCAGCTCCGTGGCTTTAAGAGTTCAGGGGAACTTTGAACTTTTTTGTCGTTTGAGAGATTTGATGTTCTTTGGAAGTACTTTTTAATTACATGCAACCTCGACAGCTTCCCCCTACTCAGCTCTCCAGTGATTAAGGGATTCGTGGTGGCGGAGATTGACGAGGATTAGGTGCAGTTTCTGGGCTCAGATGCTGTATTCCCAAAACGACTGAGCATCAGCCTTGGGGCCACTGAAGCCCCCTGCTGCCCATTTGTTGCTGACCTCTGCAGAAAGCCTCTTAATTCAGCGCCTTCACCTCCAACCAGCCGGGGAATTGTGCAGGTGGAAAATGACGGTAAAGTCTCCATTAAGGAAATGCTTGGGGGAAGGAACGTTCTAGTTAATTTAATTTTTGGTTAACTGAGCACCACTAGAGTTTTTAGCAGGAGCGGACGGCATTATGTGAAAGGAAGTTGACAAATTTGGGTGGAGACGGTCCTTTATTTAAGCCCTTTCTCCGACATTCGAAGTCACGTGACTCTGGGCCTCAGTTTTCTCGGCTGTAAAAGGGGGGCAGTAATAGGTCTCTTATTGTCTTGGCATTAGATTAAATGGGGGAACCATTTGCAAGTCATTTAGCAATAGGCTTGCTGGCTACACAGGAGGCTTGATAAAGTACCTTCTTTTTAGGAATAATTCTTAATACATTGGCATATAGCATTTAAAAAATCTTGTGTTAATATAGAGCATCGAAGGAGAGGGTACTATTCCTGGTGGAAGTATAGTGACTCATTATTGTGGAATACTTATGAAAATATAACCGATCATTAAGGATTTTGAGTGCTTTTGTATCTCAGAGACTGAGGAATAGCAGAAATAAAGAGGTCGTTTTATTCTTTTTGAAATGCCTGGGTATTCTTCTTTGCATCTCTCTTCTAAAAATTGAATGTGAGGGAAAAAAAAAAAACCTGGTAGATAAGTCAGCATGGCAGGTTCAGAATGGCACATAAAGCACCTCTATTACCACCTCTCACTTAAAAAAGAAGTAAAAACCCTCTAAAAAGCAGTAAAGGAAGAAGAGACTGAGGAGCACAATGACAAAAAGAAAGTGACAGAAACGATTCACAGATGGGAGGTGAAACCGGTTTCTGGAGAAATGCTCTCAGATGGCGGAATGGGCCCCACGGGGGCGACGGTAGTGGCCTGGGGACGCCTGAAGTGTGTTGGGCCACGGCGGGGCTGATGGTGGGCTAGAGCCAGACACAGAGGGAAGACGTAATAGTTTGTCTCTGGAACAATCTACTTCCTGCCCGGCTACTGTATGCAGAGTAGTCAGCGGCTAAATAGGGCAAACAGACAGACACATAGGGAAGGTTCTCCTCCACCAAGGACAAATGGCCCAGAGGGACAATCTCTGCACGCTGGGATCCAGGGTCTCTGCAGAATAATAGTCTCCCACGTGACCGAAATTCCCAGTTCACTAGCCTAGTGGTCACACGGGAGTCATCCATGTGCCCATGCAGATTCAATCGAAATGTCAGTGTTTCAGAAGAAAGGAGTGCTCAGTGTCCTGTGCTGTCGTGAGCGCCACCCCTGCAGTTGGGAGATGTGCACTCTAGGTGCTTGGGTAAAATGGCACTGAAATATCGTGACAGCAGTTTCAGCAGCAGAAGCGCGGCTTTGATCTTGCTGTGGCGGCTCCCAGGAGTCAAGGTCACCTCACCCCCGGATCACAAATGCTCCCATGAGGAATGATCACAGTTTAATCTGCACCTCTTACCCCTGCTTCTCCAAAAGTGTCCTGAGCCCCAAATCAAATCCAAGGAGTCACTGGACTTGTCCAGCCGACCCCGCAGGCAAGGCACCTGGCACATGTCAGCACGTGTGACAGTGAGTTACAGAAATACCGCCTGCTGCTCCGTCTGTCAATGTGGCCGGAACCCTGGACAGGGTGGCCCTGCTCTGTCCCACTCGCCCCGCCCTCAAGGGGCTGTACCTTGGCGCTTCCTGGGGTCACACATGCACAGTGTCCCGGGGTCAGGGAGCCGTCGAGGCCCACCAGCTGGGGGCCTGTCCTCTCCGGGCAGTGACAAGTGCTGAGCATGGGTTTCCTCTTCTGCCACCATGGCTGAGCGGTGATTAATGCCAAATTAGCACCTTGCTCAGTGACCTTTTAGCATTCGCTGCTGCTCTCCTTCGCTTCGCATTAACTATTTGCAAATATTAGCTTCTCAGGTCATTTCTTCTCATCAGCAACTTTCACAGATGACAGGCAGGTTGTTAATCTGATTGGCAGTCAGGTTCTGTCCTTTGCCCCATCATGAAAGTGTCAGTGCTCAGGCATCTCCCCAGGAATCCGATAAGCAGCCCAGCGGCCTCTACAATATTCTGAGCAGAGAGCGTCCGCAGGAGGCACTTACAGAGGCCTTTCTGGGCTAGCTTTGGGAGCAGAGGGGCTGGGAAGGGCTTGACGCCTCCCCTGGGACTCGTGGAAACCAGTTTCCATCAACTTCATCAGCATATAGGCTAAAAATTAATATGGTGGCTACGTGCACCTCAAGCTTTTTTTTTTTTTGTGATTCACATGGACCTTTAATTTTTCTTTTTTTTTTTTAAAGATTTTATTTATTTATTCGACAGACAGAGATCACATGTAGGCAGAGAGGCAGGCAGAGAAAGATGGGGAAACAGGCTCCCTGCTCAGCAGAGAGCTCAATGTGGGGCTCGATCCCAGGACCCTGAGATCATGACTTGAGCCAAAGACAGGGGCTTAACCCACTGAGCCACCCAGGTGCCCCTCACATGGACCTTTAAATCACATCCTGCTTAAGCAGTAGAGGCAGAACACAGACAAGGCCAGTCCTCATCTTCCCTGCCGTGCTGGGTGGTGGGCACTCGAGGGCCTCACAGCCACAGCTGTCCCCGGCGCTGGGATGGGAGCCCAGCTCTCTAGTGTCAGGTACCAGATGAAGCATTTCATATTTGCAGAATCTAAATTTATTTTTATTTCCAGTCTCTGCCTTCTATACCCCCTGTCGAAATCCCCACTCTAAAAATGTTTGATCTGTCTTTATTTCCCCTAAATAAACAGCAGTAAAGTGTACTGTGGGTAGTTTAATTTTGATATTACATGTATTTTAGAGAAAAATGGCAAAGACATGTCATACTTTTTTCTCCCTTGTCACCAGAAGTACAAGCTAAATTATTTATAGTTTGATACTCACAAAACAGAGGTGGATTCAGGATATTTACTTTTCAGAGAAGAAAAAGGGATTGAAAGTACACGGACAGAACAGAACACTTTGCTGATTGAATGCGTTTGCTCTGGGGAGCCACATTTGCGCCCGAGTGAGAACGCTAGCCCCATTCTAACTGCACACGTGCCCGGCAGAGCGCCCAACACATGGAATATTTGTGGAACTGGGCAGACTTGAAAAGAGTGGGCGGACTAGATAACTCAATAAGTGAAGTCTTAAGGCAATAAAAAAATAAAGTCAGCAAACTTTATTTTGGAAAACGCTCAACACTCGAAAGCACTTACCCCCACGATACGCAGGCGGCAGTATAAGGCACTGGGTCCCTTGACTCCCAGCCGGAATGTTCACTTACCGGCTGTGGATTCTACCCCGGGATCCTGCCATCTGATGAAGGCCAGTGACAACGACCACGCCCAAGGGCTCCCCTCCAGGGGTCGAGGTGGGGTCGTGACATTCAGGTGTCCCATCAGAGTGGCTTGACAAGACTCCCCCATGTGTTATGTTCCGGTCTTGACATCTTCCATGCTTAGGAGAGTCCCATGAAGTTTTGCTTTCTCTGCCACAGGAGAGGTTGGCACCCCCGAAACCATGGCGCCCGTCATTGTGATTCCCCCCGGCAACAGAAGTGTGGTGGCCGGGTCCAGTGAGACCACCTTGGAATGCATCGCCAATGCCAGGTATGCAGCGGGTCCCACCCTGGGGGTACGAATCCTTGTAACGGATGAGATGGCCCTTCAGTGAAAAGCCACATCATGCATGTTCTTGCTGTTCTAGCAGTCATGCTGGTCTCATTTGTCCAGCTGGGCTACACACACGACACACCTGGGAAAATAGGGCCCGACTTCCCAAGCCTGGGACTGCAGTGCTTGCACTGAACGTATCGAGGTGCTGGTGAAGGGCCTCCGTGGGTGCACAGGAAGGGTAGGGCTTGGCGTTCTCGGCCTTATCAGCGGTCGCTCCAGAATTTGGTTCCCATGATCATGCCTCCCATGTAGCCATGTCCCCTAGCAGTATTTATTTTAAACATTCTTTTCCTGAGCAAATGGAATCGTTAGCACTTATGGTCCATCGCTGCCACAATTAGCTATCCTTGCTCAATAGCCCTTGAGCGGAATGTATTGTCGGTGCGCACCGTGAGGGAGTCGGGCCGCATCTGGATTGATTTTTAAATGTCCGTTGTTCAACCCGCCGTGGTTCCTGGTAGAATTAGCTTTGTCAGGCTTGTGCTGAATGCCTGAAATTACGATTATTGCCACCTACGTGATTCACCGTTGTTGTCAATCATGCCCTGCACCCTCCCAGGCCTGTCGAGGAGCTGCACGTGACCTGGAAGAGGAACGGGGTGAGGGTCGCCGGGGGGCTCCACAGCCATGGGAGACGCCTCACCATCAGCAACCCGACGTCTGCCGACACCGGGATGTACGTCTGTGAGGCGACGCTGAGAGGACGTGCGTTCAACGCAGCCACAGCGCAAGCCTTTCTGGCTATCATAGGTAACGCAGGGCTCGGAGGTGCGCGGCCCCTCGTGGAGCGGCCGGGAAACAGCCGTCTCTGGCCGGCTCCCTTTCTAACCCAGAGAAGGAGGGTGACACGGAGGCTACCTTCCAGAGTCACCCTGCTCTTCTTTCTCCAGGAACATGAGCCCACTGAACCCAAAGCACTCACGTTCTGAGTACTTCTAAGAAATGTGATTCTGGATCCTTCTGACCACAAAGCTCGAGAAGTGGTGTGGTGAGGTCCTTGTCACATATGTCACCTTCTGGCACTGGCCTCTCCAGCACGAAGCTTCTCTGTAGCCCTATGGTCAGTTTTCAGAGATTATCCCATCATTGGTATTTTTTGACCCAGAAAAAACGAAGCTTTGGGATATTATCTTCTGTTAAGTGAAAAGGGGAGAACAGAGCTGCTTCCTAGGATGTGCGCTAAGGGCCACTCCTGAGCCAAAGAGAGCAAGATAAAATTCGGCACCCAGGAGTCGCTGTGGACGCTAGAAAGTGTCAGTGTTCAGGGAGTGGGCGTTGTTCGGTGGCCAAGGAAATCCTCAGGGTATTTGCGGATTATGGTAAGATCACCATACATTGTGAGGACAGTGCCTTTGTTTCTCGTGTTTCTTCGGCTCCTGTAATACTTTTAGTCTCCTTAGTGGCTGTGGTCACTCTCACCGTGACCCGTCCAGCAGGACAGTGGCTGCTGCAGGTAGGAGGGGCCAAGGCGACGCCAGGGAGGAGAATCTCTGCCTCTTATCTCTTTCCGGAGGAAGGGAATGAGAACGAGAAAAGTCAGGTCAGCAGAGCCCTGGGGAGCACTGTGGCTCCTCACAGGACGTGTGTCACACCTTGCCACTTTGCCAACTAAGAAAGAAGACAAGCTGTGTTCTCCTGTGAAATTAGCAAGGGTTTCAGGAAATGCCGAGTAAAAGGCAGTTTGCCTTGAGTGGGTCACACTCCTTTTGATCATAAAGAAATGGCTCCGTGGCCTCGAAATAACCCAGCCAAACACACCAAACCCATCCGTCCCTCCAAATGGAGTGTAAAGACTTTTAAAGCATCAGGAAGGCAGACCTTGAGTCGCATGTCGCTGCGGACTCCGCACTAGGGGACTGAGCTGCTTGTCCTGCTGCCTCTCCTCCTGTGCTCCTGACAGAGGGAAACACCGCAGGCCTGTGCCCCGCAATGACATCCTTCCGCCCCCTGTGAGCATAGCACGTTATAGATGGAACCAAATTAACATTCGGCACGTGTCTGTCTCCAGGAGACAGGACTGTATTGTGTTAAAACATCTTAAGGTGATTCAAACAAGAGAAGAAATTTATCTTCCTGTGAACTGGAATGTTTGTTTCCATCATAATTCCCTTTAGAAATATTTAAATCTATCCTATGAACTTTGGTTTCACATTGACAAGTGAATTCCAAAGCAGGCTGTGTGCCGCTCTGTGTTCAGGCTTTGAAAGGGACACAACTCTGCGTCTTTAGGATGTTGATTTACATTCCCTTTTATTTATAAGAATTTGCGATGGCAGGGAGGATTCTGTGCAGGAGTCGTCCTGGGGAAGCCCTGAGGAGGGCCACTGTGAATCCGGATTGGTTGGGAGATGGTGGCCCCAGGCGCGGTGTGCTGGGAGGAGGTTCCCAGGAACGCCATGGGGCCCGGCAGGGAGCTGTCCCGGAAGCAGGCCCGTGCAGGAAGGTGGAAATGCGCTGGTTTTCAGGGACTTCCATCACGGCTGAGGAAACAAGACACGACGGGGTGGTTGTTTCCTCTGCCTGTCAATTTCAATAGCGTATTGCCTGATTTCTGAGGTTTATACAGGAATGCGGGCTGCGTCCCACCTGCTGCAAGTTCTGGTGGCCGTCTATGCGACAGGGAGCACCGGCCTCCAGGGGTTGCTCCGGCCCGTTGCTGCTCCTCAGCTCTTTCTCCTGCCCTGCCCTCCACATGCTCCCCGAGAGCCTCCCCACACCCCACATGCTGAGGCTGATGCCATGGCCTGCCCACACAGCCCCCAGTCTCCCTGCTTCAACTACTCGCACCACCGTTCCCCCGCTCACGGCCTTCCTGGGTCACTGGAGCTGCGGCACCCGCCATGCGGCAGGTTGGAAGTGCGGGGTCTGATGGACAGTGGACAGACAGCTGAGCTCCCGCCTCCCTGCGACCGGGGGTGTGATCTGGAGGTCCTGGCTTCCAGTGCCCCCAGTAGTTGAGCTCACCTGGTGATGTGCTCCTTGCAGCTGACCTGCCTCTTCTGGTGGTGTTTCCATCACCTCCCCGATAAACCGTGGGCCGCTGGGCTGGGCTATAGGGACAGACCTGGGCTCAGACCCTTTAGGCACCACTCATGGGCTCAAACAAGTCCCTTTGCCTCTGCTGGCCTCAGTTTCCACATGTGTAAGCTGTAGACGAGGTAGGAAACGATCAGGGTTCATACCGTGAGCTGTAAAGGTAGTGCTGTTCACAGAGGCAGGGGGATGGCAGCGTGATGAGGTGCGGGCAGAGGGCTGTTATCCCACCTGTGGCATTGTTTCAGCTCTTTACCGATGGTCACGTGACATGCACTTTTCACCTTAGCTGTCCCTGAAGTCAGGGTGTGTCTCAGGATCCCTGGAAACATTTTTTCTTTCCTGAGGGTAAATATAGCTGCAAAGTCTCAGATTCAGTGAGACAGCGTGTACATCTTCCTTTCCAGACTGACAGACCGACACCGTCTCCTGTCACTGCCGTTCACGTGCTTACCCTGTGTCCGTGAGTGTCTGTGTCCCTGCCTTCAGACACGCATCAGCGTGAGTGGCTGCTGTCCAGAGCCGTCTCTGTGCCTCTCGGGCTGGTCTGGTGTTTGTAGACATGGATCATTCAGGAATGCCAAAATCGTATCATTAGAATCCCAGATTACTTGTACCATCGGGTAAATATAGCTGATACATGCCACAATCAAGGAGTTACAACTGTGCTGGAAGGTTCTCTAGAGCTGAGACCAAGCCACCTTCGCTGTCTGAATCCTAACAGAAAATGCCTCCTCCTCCTAACAGAAAATGCCTCCTTTCCTTCCTTTCCCCCACTTAACATTTCTTGAGTCTGCATCTCGGACACTGCTCTGGGCATTGGTGACAATGTGGTGAAGAAGGAGCCACGGGCCCCGGCATCCAGGAGTCTGGTGTGGAAGGCAGGCATGCACGAGGCAGGGATGACTCAGCACAGCAAGCGTGCACAGCAGGAAGGGGCGCCTGAGCTCACGCAGCAGGTGCGGGGCGCAGAGGCCCTCTGGGCATAAGGCCAGGCCAGAACCCTGCGGCGGGCCTTGCACCCCACCCGCCCTGGTTTAGGATAAACTCAAGATGTCTTCTTTCTGGCTCTACATACAGCCTACGTTAGAAGCACCCCCATTAATCATTGGTGCCCTGTGGCAGCTGGAACTTACCTGTATAGCTGAACATTACCGAGTGAAGTTCAGAAAATAGAGCTGTTACAGAACTGTTTCTAAAACAAGAGAGAAACTTGTATGAAGCAAAGCCCAGTGGCGCTTGGGTCATTTGCTCTAAATGCAGGATGGGCAGGCCGGCTGTAATACCTCGGGATGGAGTGGGGTTCAGCGGGCAGGGAGCCACGAGCGTGCTCTTCACGTACTGTCTGTCCTTCCTGGCTCCCTGGCCATCTCTGCCCTCCTTGCTGCTCTGCCAACCATTTGTGGAGCACATGGTGTGTGCAGGACCCTGCCGAAGGGCCAGTGTGGGCAGAAGACGAAGGAGGCTTTGCAGAGCTGGAATGGGACACACCTGCTCCCCAGAAGGACTTCAAGTTTGTAAGGTCTTCGGTGATCTCCTGTATCTCTCCTTCCAGCAGATGGTATTTAAGTGTTTCCTCATAAGCTGTGCCAGGCACTACCAGTGTAGAGATGAGGAGGACACAGTTCTTCTCCAAAGAAGGTCCCAGGTGGAGGGGGCACCCTGCCTGAGGAGGTTGGGGGAAACTCTCCAGAAGACTGGCACTAGGGCTGATCTTGAAGACCGACATGGGATTTGCCAACAAGACAAGCATCTCTTGTGTGGGAGCCAGAGTGTGGGGGCTGCTCAGGCCCCACAGTCCCAGGGGACAGGCTCAACCACTTCCTCTCCTGGTGGTCTCATGGGCCATCATCGAGCCTTCGATGGATCTGGGCTCTTTTCTGGGGGCTCTTGGAGAGAAGCCACTTCCTGGCTCACTCCGGGTGGGGAGAAGCCAGTGCACAGGGTTGTAAGACTGAGGTCCTCACCTTGTTTCTATTTTTGGTTGGGGTCCCAGAGGACCCCCTGCTCTCCCTGGCTTAGCCACCTTCTTCTCCACCTTCTTCTCCAACAAGCCAGGACTTTTCGTGCTGCAGGACTCTGAACTCCCTTCTTCATCTCCCCTTCTAGCAGCAGGGAGGCCACTGCTTTTGGGGGCTCCAGTGATAAGACTGGGCCCACCTAGCTGATCCAAGGTTAGCTCTTCGTTTCAAGATTGACAGCCTTAACCACACTGGCAGAGGCCATCTTGCCATGTAGCATAACGTGCTCACAGGTCCCAGTGACTAAGGGGTGGACACCTCGGGGCCATTCTTCCCACCACAGTGGACAAAGACACCATGTGTGGATGATGGTGGCAAGTCAAGGACATTTCCTGGCATGAGATGGTCATTCTGGAGCAGAAGGAAAGACAGAACAGGGAACATCCTCGGGTCTCATGGTAAGCCCTACTCACGACAGGCCCTGCCACTCAGCTGTGGGGGCTTTGGCAGGAGAGCACGAGGAATCCTTGGGATGCACGGGCCATCAGCCGTAGCTGCCTCCATGAGGCCAGGGTGAGTGCTGTATGGCCCTGGCATTTTGGAAGGTGGGGAATTCAATAGAGGCCTTGCCTTTAGGCTGCCTGGGAGGCATCCCACCTCCTGTTCTGAGACAGGGCCAGTGGAGCGTGGCTGGCTGTTTCTGAACAGGGATGGGAACGTTTTCCTGATGTCTTCATATTGTTTCAAGAGAGAGAAAAGTGTTCATTGCAATTGCTAGCTTTACTTACCGGCTGTACGTGGGATACATTTTTAGAAGTCTAATGTGCACCGGTGTTGGCAGTGTGCCCTTTCTAGAAACGGTGGCTGCCAATTAGCTAAGACACGCACTTGCCCCTTAGAGGTTAAGTGGTTGCGGGAGTCCATACTAGTTCACGACCAGCTCCCAGTTCAGCCCACAGTCCTTGCATTGTGGACGTGCCTCGTGTGCTCCCACTTTTGTCCTTTGAGCTGACTACGTGTAAAAATAGCTGGGGATCAAGAGAAGCGGTCTCTTCTGAGCACCTGTTGAATTCTGTCGACAGGAAGGGTCAGCCCTGAGCGAAACGTCACACATATGGTGGGGAAAGAAATACAGTTACCGTCAGAAGCTACAGGGGCCTTTCCGGGTCTTCACAGCTGCGTGCCCGCTCTGCTTTGTTCAGCCTCCTGGAAAAGTTTCAGGAACAAGGCCAGAGTATCAGTAAATGAACAAACCTGCTCGGCCCAGGCCATTCCTGGCCTTCCTAGTTGTCAGCCACATAAGCCTCCCTGGTTATTGGCTCCAGGGGAGAGAGAGAGCCCTTGGCATGCACCGGCAGGACACCCTTCCAGACTGTGCCCAGGCTGCCGAGTGCGTGGGGTGGGTGAATTAGTGCCAGTTCCCACAGTAACTGTCTGCAGGGGGCTGGGGGGGAATGGCAGTGTTCGCAGGCCAGTGGCCTTGAGCAGGCCTCTGATGCACCCCAGCCCTGGAGCCGTGCCGCTGCTCAGCTTGAGCCAGCTTTGGGCCACATGCGATGAGCACCCCCTGTCTCTGACCCCATGCTAGGTCCTCTCCTGGCCCCGGGGGGAAAGCTGGGTGGCATCGCAGAGGGAGGAGAAGCAGCACTGGACACTGGCCGTCGCACCTAATGCCTCGAGGTAGCCGTCTGGTCCTGTAGATGTTGAACATTTCTATATGCGTGTGTCTGTTATCAAAGTGTGCTTCCTCTGGGATGAATCCCACGGGACTTGAGCAAAGTGAAAAATGCCAATTCTGAAGGTTACACGTGGTGTGATTCCGTTCCTGTATCATTCAGGAATCGGGACAGAATTACAGGTGGAGACCAGAGGAATGGCTGCCAGCGGTGAGGGAAAGGACGTTGGGGTGGCCAGGGTCCTGCAAGGGCAGCATGTGGGACCCTTGGGGGACAGGCCCATTCTGCCTCTAGACTGTGGGTCCACATGCCCTCGCTGATTATGTTGCCTAGGGCTAAGCCCGCACACGTGCTTGCGCGCACACACACGCACACAAGGCAGACGGCGGAGGTGAGAGTAGGGTAGGTCAGTATCTCGGGTGTGATGTTGGACTGCAGTTGTGCAAGGTGTCACCGTTGGGGGAAACTGAAGGAAGCCTGGGATCTCTATTATTTCTTACAACTGCGTGGGACTCTCTAATTATCTCAAAATACAATGTTTAATTTAAAAAAGGAGAACCATAATTAATCACGGACAAATGTTGACTCTGTCACTTGGTCTTTTTTTTTTTTTTTTCCTTTTCACTTATGTCCCTTTCCTCAGACCGTGGAGGTAGATATCGACGTTCCCATTCACTGATGAATATGGGGCGTGACCGGCTCATGAGGGCCGCGACAGGACGCAGCTCTGGGATGGTCAGAATGTAAATTTCACTGCTGTCATGATTATTGATGAAGGGAAAGCGGCTGAATGTGAACACGTGGGTGTGCAGGGAAGACCAGCTTGAAAAGAGACTGTGAATCTTTGTGGTTTGTCTTTCCAAAGCCTGGTCCTCACACACCCAGAACCTAGTCGAGGACTCCGTGTCCACCCGGCAAGGGGGCAGCCCGTTCCTCAGGCGGATGGCATGTGCCCGAGTGACCCGGCTCATCGCAGAGGGGTTCCCAGACTCCCATCCCCGCGGAGAGACCCTCAGCCTTTTCTTAAGTGTTCATGTCTCCTTTCCCTCTTGTGGGTCCCACCCTGTCTCAAAGACCCAGGCAGTGCAGGAGACATGCCACGCCACGCCACCCACTCCCCACACAGTGACAGTGGCAATCAGCCACCCAGGAAGACAGTGCCCAGAGACTAATTATCACACAGAAAGGGAATTCAGCAGCCTTTGTTATCGCAGTAATGAAATCACTGGCACCTTCACGCTGGCTGAATCTGGCCATGCCACTGTTGAAGTTCTGCTGAGAAAACTGAAAAGAATGTTGCAGTTCACTCTCCAAGGAGAGAGTCACTGTGGATACACCCGCCACTGGTCTCTTCAGTGGGCGAGGGGAGTAGCTGGAGAGTCACAAGCCATGGAGTTTCCTCTGCTCCTGATGATGGATGAGAGGCCCTTTTTCTTTCTTCTCTTCGCCATTATTTAGCCTTCCATTGAAGTAGTAAATCTATATTTTGGAGAAGAAGAACCACTAGGACTTTAAAAAATACGTTAACGGGCCTCCCGGTCCCCTGACACAGGCCCATGCCCGGCTGTGAAGTTTTATTGGACATGCCGCGTGCGTCGGGGTTTGGTTTGGATATGGAAACAAACTAGCCTATAAAACACTGTGCTGTAAATATAAACCTTTATGAACCTCTCGGGACAGTCCTTCTAAAATGTGAATTAAGATATTCCATGATTCAAGCCCATAAACAGAAAAGTAGCCATCACCCTGAGTAGTAATTTGCTTTCTGAAACCTTAGGATAAACCGCTTTTGGCCTCCGCTCACTGAGTTCTGAGTTCGCATGTACGATGGCGGCGAAAGAACTTTCCAGAAATAGTTTTTAAAAGGGGTTTGAGCTCTTTGAGGCCAGACAGTTCTCCTGAAATACACTTCTTTTGCTTAGGGGCTATTTTGTTTCTTTCTTGTTTAAAGAGCCACCGTATTTTACTGCTGAGCCCGAGAGTCGGATTTTAGCGGAAGTGGAAGATACCGTGGACATCGTGTGTCGAGCCATGGGTGAGTGTGGGGCGGCTACTCCACGGGCCGCTGTGAGGCAGGGGGACTGAAGGGGCACTTTCATCACTGTCAGGACACACATGGAGTGTGATGTTAGTGACAGGGCCTTTGGATCCTGGCAGAACTCAGTTACTGGGCATGTGACCTTGAAGAAGGTGACCTCGACCTAGCTGAGCTGTTGCTTCCTCACCTGCAGAGCAGAGATAAGAATATTCACCCAAGGGAACAAGAAGAAGAACTTCACCCCATCTGTCCCCACGGACATGGACTGCCTTGTCCTCTCAACTCCTTTCAAACACTCTGGTTCCACAAGACCATGACTCCCCAAGGCCTAGAGCAGGAGGTGCTCTTCCATCTGTGGGGTGACGGGCACTGGTGATGATGCGTGCTCTGCAGTAGGAGAGGTGGTTCTAAAGTCTTTGAACAGGAAGACTTCCCTTTTTTCTTTTTTCTTTTTCTTTTTCTCTTTTTTCTGCTTCGGGTTGACTTTTTCTTTGTTATTCTAGTAATCTCACCCCTCACCCTCTGTCTTGGTGACAAGCTGTCCACCGTCAGGCAGCATCAACAATTATACGAACCCCCCTCCTAGAGACAGGCTTTTTAAAGGCAATTTCATTAACAAAGGCTATGTTAGTGCACTAGACACTGTCAGTGAAAAGACCTTTTTTTTTTTAATGTTTAAATTTGTCCATCTTAAGGGTGGGGATTTCATTCTAAGAGCTTGGAGGGTAAGGATTAGCAATTTTGTAAATATCCAAAACAGCTCCATAAAAGAGGTATTATTTTCTCAGAGTACACATACAAAAACAAGATCTTAGAAAGTGAGGTTAAGTAATGTGCTCAAGGCACAGAACCAGGGAGAGGAGATGAGATATACCTCTAAAATCCCAGCCCAGCATCTGGCATATAGGAGCTGCTCATTAAAGATTAGACAACCTGCCAGAGGTCTCATGGCAATGGAGACAGGAATGAAACCCAGACCCATCAGCTCCCAAAGCAAGGGCTTTGGCCGGGGCACCTGGCTTCTCCCAGAGAGCTGAGGTTTGGGCCTAGAACTCATGCCAGCAGTCCACGGGTACGGACATGTCATTGTCCGTCTCTGAAAGGGAGTAGGGGTGTGCTCTGAGCAGTGTTGATGGCTCCTGGCTCCTGCAGAGATCGGGGTCTGCCACAAGCCACTCTCCTCTACCCACTGTGCTTCAACTTGGAGCCTGTGTCCTGGAGGGCTTAGTCCCCAGCCCCTGGGCAGGTCACGGGGGCACTGTTGGCACATCTGCTCTGCGGCCATCCTCTGTTCAGGATCCTGGGGTTGGGTGGGGGGAGAGTGATGTGACCTTTACATGGAAATGTCCCCCTCGTGGTGGGTTGCACTGCTCTCTCCCTGGCATAAACACCGTTTTCCAAGGTCAGCGGTGCTCTAAAAGTGGAACTCCACTGTATTTCGAGTGCTCAGACTTTAGAAACCAGAATCTGCAGCACTGCTGGGTATAAGATTTCTGTTTATGACCCTAAATCACCCCAAAACAGAAAGACTCCCAGTTCCCCATATACTAACAATTATTTTTCAATAAATGACAGTCTTAAGCCCTTCCCTTGACAAGGGAATGCTCTTTTTTGCATGATTTCTACAGGGTAAACTGCTTGGTAAATACAGACGTGTACATGTATACTGATCAGGTCTTTCAACGTTGCTATCAGATAATTTACTGCTTTTTTAAAATTTTGACAATGAGACTACAGCTGCATGCGAAGTGGTTACTCTTCATGAAAGCTCGATCATGTAATTGCTCTTAGGAGATTTTACATGAATTGGTTATGCTTTTACCTTGAAATGGATTTTTTTAATTTCCTAACTTAATGAAAAGTGACAGGAAACATAATTAAGGCAAAGAACAGAATCTGAGAATACATTATCTTGAAATATTCCATGACATTAACTTTATTTATTAAAGAAGACATCTTACACCTACATGGCATCTGAAATCAAGGGATTTAGGTGTGCTTTTCACTGTGAATCCTGCCAAGATGGGTTTTATTTAAATTAATTTCATAGGTAGGGAAACCGAGGTAAAGAACCAGCCTAGACATTCCTGCGTGCTTCCCGTGGGCCCGCAGCAAACATACACGCACCCGCCATGCTCAGGACTGCGTTGTCGCATGTGTTTTGGGGGAGTGTCTGTGCACAGCCTGTCATGTCTACCCAGTTGGCATAGGTGGCTTAGGAGGTCAGAGACACACCCAGGTGGCAGTGTCCCCTACCACTAGTCACACAAGCTTCCGGGGGAGCTGCCCAGGGAAGGAGCCTGGCGTCTCCCAGGTCAGAGGTCATCCCAGTCAGTAAGGCACCGGGGACTAGCGCACGCCTCGTCATGCCCTAGGCTCCACGCACTGAGCATGGCCTTGTCGGGGCGGAGCAACAGAGGTCCTCACGCTTTCAGGCTGAGCAGAGTCCCTTCATCCACAGCCTAGGCTCCGCCCCTGCGAGCCTGCCCTTTGTCCCCTGCCTCTTCCCTCCCAAACCCAGCCTCCCCGCCGCCATCCACTGGGCCAGCTGGGTGGTGCAGGGCTCTGGTCTCACTGACCCAGGCCTGAATTTTCACTGTAACATCAATAAGATGAGGAATGAGATGAGGAAGGCCCAGCCAGCCTCAGTCTGACCCTCCGTTCTCCTGCTCCAAGTGCTGGCCTTGCTCCGAGTGCCTTTAGCTCCTAGGGACAGGGGTAGCACCATCCTTTGACCCCTGCTTGTTACCTGCTGGGCTCAGATTTGTCTGGGAGCCAAGGCAGCTTTTCCCACATCCACAGCTAAATGCCCCTCAGGACCCCTTAGCCTCCTCCCACACGCACCTCGCGTGATTTACCTCCGCCATCCTCTACTGCCATGGACGTCTGCTTAGATCGGTGATGTCCAGCCCCCTCGGCAGGAGACGGCTGAAAAGATGGGATGCCTTCTTCTTATGGTTAGTCCTGATCAGAGTCATTCTAGCCACTGAGCATTGGCCGTGTGCCAGGCACTGGGGACATCTGCGTGCGCTGATGGGGTTAATCTTCCAGCAGCATTTCAAGGTTGCAGTGACCACTTCCTTCCAAATGTGTCTCTGGTCCTGGCTGCCCTTCCCTGAGCCTCGAGTGGCAGAGGCAGGCGCTGCAGGGCAGCAGGGGCCTTCTTCCTGATCCCTGTCTGTTCCCAGGACAGTCATGGTCACGGCTGGAATCCCTCTCTCTCCAGACCAGAGCACAAACCTGCACCGGCTCGGGGGGTCCAGAACGATCTGCAGCGCAGCAGATCCGGAGTTCATTACTGCACTTCCTCCTGCTGCTTCTCTGTGTCCATTTCTCTGCACATAACACTGTGCAAGGGGGAGAAAGGGACTCCAGACAAAACATGCCGCCAGACTATCACCTTGTAACGTCTGAAACACGTTCTCCTCAGCCCTCACGTAAAGTGCTTGCAGTTGAGTTCTTTCAAATGCCCGGTTGTTTCCACTCCTGCGCAGGGGTCCCTCTTCCCACCCTCCAGTGGTACAAGGATGCCACGTCCATCAGCAAGCTCCAGGATCCCCGGTACAAGATGCTATCAAGCGGAGGCCTGCGCATCCAAAACCTGCGTCCCGAGGACTCGGGGATCTTCCAGTGCTTTGCCAGTAATGAAGGAGGGGAGATCCAGACCTATACCTACCTGGACGTCACCAGTGAGTCCTGCCCCCCCCGCAGCCAGACCCCCTGCGCTGGGCCCTCAGCCACAGCTCCCCACTCGGAAAACCGTAGCATCTGTTCTGCAAACGGACAGGGTGTGGGGGCCAGCAGTGACCCACTGTGGAGGGCCACCTCTCCGGCCCACGAAAGCCCACGTGCTAAGCCCCCAGGCAGCAAATACGCCCCATTGTCCCTATGCCCCGCCGCCCGACCTGCTCTCAGGAGAGCCTCGTGCTCTCCTCTCTGCTGAGAAGTGAGGGGACAAGTATCTCCACTTTTCTGGACTGAACTGGAAGGACTTTTCAGTGAATAGCTCATTCCTAATCTTTTTCTTTTGATCTTTTTCCCATTTTTTTATATTCACATTCTATTTTAGTTTTATCGAACAATTATAGTTCTTCTGTAAGTTTCTTTTGTTACCCCATTAGCAGAAATACTTTGGCACCCTGTCTTTGAAAACTAAAACAAAGGTATAGGTTTTCACTGTATCTGTGGGTTTCCTTTTTCAGCCCCACAGTTGTAATATTGTTCTTCTAAAATGAAGTCGTATTTAATGGTTATGGAATTATACCTTTTGGAAGCCAAATGCTGATATCCTCAGGTGTGAGAGCCGCTTGAGGAAGCAAATCGTGTCCCATATGCAGACAGCTCTCGTTTGCCTGAACTTAGGAATTTAAGGATTCTGTGTGTGTGTTTTGGTAAAGTAGGGGTCATTACCTTGAACCTTGTCCAGGGGTCAGATTTAGTCTCTGGTTTAGAGCATAGGAAACCAGTATCGCTTCAAATGATGGCAATAATATTGGGTACTTATGCCAGAAACTGAGTTTCACTCAATTAGAATTATTTAAAGTCTATCTTACAAGTCGGCCGGGCAGCTATGGGGCACAGATGAGCATACTTTTTTTTTTCCTAATTTATTTTAATTCCAGTATAGTTAACACAGTGTTATATTAGTTCATGCATTTAACAAACATTTACACAGCATCTGTGTCAGGCACTGGGTCTGTCGGGCTTGGGGACAGAGCTCCGAGGAAGACATGCGAGGTTCTCACGCCTCCAGGACAGAGGTCAGGAGGCGGGGAGACAGACGGCAAAGGAGGAGTAATTTAGCCAGGGATGAGGGCTGGGAAACGAGCAGACCCCCAGGTCCTCCCGGGGTGACCAGGGAGGCCTCTCTGAGGGTGGTCAGGTTGCATTCCTTGTGATGCTGCCGGAGCTGAGGCCCAAAGGTGCAAAGTTTGGGGGGACATGGGTGTCGCGGGATGGGGGAGGCTGCAGGTGCTTTCCAGACACAAGCTTGGGGAGGTGTGTGTGCAGGGAGCAAGGAGACAGTTGGGACGCAGACTGGTGAGGAGCCAGGGGTCATGCTAGGAGGTAGTTTGGAGGGACAAGCAGGGCGAAGGCCCAGGAGCCCAAGGGAAGATTCTACCGGCTTTCGGCAGGGAGTGGCAGGGTATCCTTCATGGCTTCCACAGGGCACCGACGGCCGGGTGTAGGATGGCCAATGCAGGGAACAGCGGGAGGCTTAGGACCCAGGAGGAGGCCACTGTACTGTCGACTTGGGGGCCCCAGCCAGGGAGGGAAGCAGGGGGCTCTGGGATTTGCTTTGGAGGTGGCATCCACAGGGCGTAGGTGGTTTGTGGTAGAAGGAGAGGTGGCAGCAGTGCTTCGGTCCCAAGTTTCATCCACTGGTCCTAGGAACCTCAGGACCCTTATGGATTGGGGACATGCAGATCAGAGTAGAAAAAGTCGCTGAGTCTCGCTAAAGCCAGCCTGAGCTACCTACCACCGTCTCAGTCTGACTGGGGGCTCTCCGGAGCTGCCCCCCAAGGACAGAAAGACGCCCCCAGCGCTTGGGCCCCGACACTTCCTGGAAATCCCTCACTGACGTGCTTCAAATCTGGTTATTTTGTGAAAGTGTCATCCTTTGGGTAATATTTAATATTCAAAAATCCAGTTTTTCTATTTTTCCAAAAGTACTAAACGTGAGCTTGTTAGTTTTACCTGAATAACTGTCCCCCTCGTTAACGTCCACCTGAAGCAGCCGCTCCTGGCTCCTGCACTCGCCCGCTTGCGTGCCCATTCCACCATGAGACTAGGGTTCTCTTCAGGTTGTAAACACAGGCAGCTCCTGGGGGACAAATAAGGGAAGGTTATAGTCACTCCTGAAAGGTTTTCCTCCTTTATTGCTACAGTTATCTCTGTGATTAGTCCCATAAAAGCCCATATGGGCTACCCCGGCAGGCAGGTCTGAGCGCGTCTGGGGACAGCACACTGAGTATCTCCCTGTTGGGTCCCGCTTAGATGTCGCCCCAGCGTTTACTCAGCTTCCGGTGGACACCACGGTCACTGATGGGATGACGGCCGTCCTGAGGTGTGAGGTGTCCGGAGCCCCCAAGCCCGCCATCACATGGAGGAGAGGTAGGTCGCCAGTGCGGCCTGGCCCACACGCGGATGAGCCCATCGGCCCAAGCCATGTGTGTTTTCGTTCCCGCCCTCCTTCGTTCATTCAGTGAAGACTGGCAGCCACCTGTGGGGCACCTGCCTGGCGTCAGACGCCTGGGCCACCAGAGTGAGCCAGACGGGCAAGGCCCCCAGGAGCTACACAGAGCTTACCTCCATGAGAGGAAACAGCCGTGTTTTGAAACATGGGAATATCCCTATTTTCTGCCTCAGCCCTTCATAGGGCTCCTTAGGCTTATGAAGGGGTTCCCCCAAAATACCAGGGAGTGGATTCGGAGACGTGCCACCAGGACCCAGTGTCCCCATTTGTGAAACGAAGGTTCTGTTAAAAATTAAGAATAATATCCTTGCTCTTGTAAGAAAGAAGAGTGTCGAGGTTGCACACCTGAAACTGATAGGATACGTAAGCCGATGAGACCTCGGTTCACAAAAGGCAGAGAAACCAAAGCCTGGGTGACACCCAGGTCCTTCTCGGTGTCCCTTAGCGGAGTGGCTGCGGAGGGATGAAGCTTCACTGAAATAGGAAACCGAGAGAGAAAGATGCTTCTGGCTCGTTTGACACACGTGATGCTCTCGGTGTCACCTGTTTTCAGTCCCTGTGAGGAGGGGCTTCATGCCTCGGGCTTGCTCTCTAGTTCCAGCTCCTTCCGCAGGCACGTGTGTCACTAAATGAATCACATACATGGTCCGTCCTTAATAAATATGTGCTGACACGTGTGGGTTCACGTAAAGGCCTCATCACACCCTCAGACCATGGCGCTCAAACATGAACGTCTGAGGAGCTCCAGGCCAGCAAGCAAGAGGGCGTTCTTCTATCTTACACATACTTTGCTCTCGCGATTCAGAACGTAATGATAGCTTTACATAGAAAAATCTTCAAGCGCATACAGATATAAGGAAACTCAGAATCAGTCAGCCAGAGATAATGACCGCATACATGGTTCATAATTTATTTAACCAAGTTTCTCAATTTCTGACAATTAAGATTTTTTTGGTCTCCATTATCCTAAATTATGTTAAAGGGAATGGCTTCAATTACTGTTGTACATAGAGTTTTCACTTCATTATGATTGTTTCAAGTCATTTCCTTGGTCTTGGTGTTAACACTCCCGCTTTCTCGACTTTTCTTCAGGAAAACATATTTTGGCCAGTGGCTCCGTGCGGATTCCTAGGTTCATGCTTCTGGAGTCTGGGGGTCTGCAGATTGCCCCCGTCTTCCTCCAGGATGCCGGCAGCTACACCTGCTACGCAGCCAACACGGAGGGGTCCCTGAACGCGTCCGCAGCCCTAACCGTTTGGAGTAAGGACTACAGGCCATGTGGAACCTTCTGTTAATCACAGCTTAATCGCCATGTCAGCTGTGCTTAGGGATGTCAATATGCCCTTGGACTCTCTAATTGAATCATAAGAGAATGATTATTTTTACAACTAATTTATAGAAATCTGTCGAGTAATTAATTTTTCAGTTTCTGAAAGCGTAATTAGAAACTGTATTCAAAGATTTAATGGGAACGTTTCCGGAGAGAGAAAAGAGGGACTTTTTACAGTCAGTGGCAGAGAGGGTATTAGCCCAAATGAGCCCAAATGACAAAACCTGTGGGGCCGTTAATTTTGGAAGCTTCGCGTAAAGAAACCGAATCAAGAGTTAACGTTTTAGAGAAAGTATGGTTTTTTCTATAATATCATTATAACCAACTCAAACACTCCTAGTATATTAAACATGAGTGTTTTCTATGTTAGGAGTGAACTGGAGAAAGATCTTTGTTATTTCTCCAACTTTTGTTTCTTTATTGAGAACACCATTTTCTGAAACAGGAACAGATCATTTTCCAGACGTAAGGATTCATTACTGAGTATTTCTGTCCACCACCAACCCCCGCCCCGACCCCGCCAAAACTTTTAGCTTCACTTGCTGGCGTACTTTTTCCTCTTTTCTTCATCTATAAGTATGTTACTAAAATTGATAATAATAAAAATCATTGTTCAAAAAATCAAAAGACAGGGCTCACGATTTTTTTAAAGTTTTATCTATAGGAAGAGAAAAACTTTTAATTTGCATCAGTGATGAATTTGTTAAAACACTATCCTAAAAGAGAAACTGAATTACCATGCTTTATTTCATGTCTGTTTCGCTCTCTACGATGTAGTTCGTGTGCACTTTAATCAATGACCTTACTGATTTATTGGGTATTCTACAAACACCAGGAGTTTTAGAAAGGAATGAATTCAACCCCTCCCCGATATTGTCGGGTACCCAAAAAAAAAAAAAAGATTTTTGTCTTATTTCATGGCCCACTGTGTCCACCCACTTCCTACTGGTCACGTGTCCCTAACATGTTAACCTTATATTTAACAGCTTGTGAAGGGTTGTTGTCTGCATGTCTGTAGGTCACGCACCAGAAAGTTCTGTAGATCTGCTAAGATTCAGATTCTAACAGCACTAGAGCAATAGGTACGCTCATGCAGCCTGCCTCCCCCTTCCACAGACAGTAAAGCTCACATGTTTTCCTGCACATTTGGCCACAAGTAGTCAGGCTAGGGGCCGACCTCGTCTTATGACTCCCACATTTCAGAGCCGTGTTCACCTCAGAGGGATGCAGCCGGGGGGACCCCCAGCACAGGGCTTTTGCTGGGGCCTTAGCTGTGGTCCCCACCCTGACCCGTGCCCAGTGTTGGGCGAGCCACCATGCCTCAGAGCAACACCTTCTAGTCCAGAAACCTGGGAGTGGTGCTCTCACAGCCCTCCCAAGGTTGTTGTGAGATTAAGTAAAATAATATAAATGAAAGCACTTTGCAAAGTCATGAAGTGCCGTGCAGACAGCAGAAATGACCAGAATGTTAATGATCTTGGGAAAGAACCAAGATTCTCACCTAAGACTGCAGAACCTCATAAACCTCGGCACATGCTCGTTATTCTCAATGTCTCCCGGAGGGTTTAGAGGTTCGGGAGTGGCCCTTATGGGGAGGGAGGCCCGACAACCGTGGCTGCAGCCTGGGAAGGCTCGCTTTCAATTCCCTGAGTGTTTCCCAGCGCTTCCATTTACGCTCGCTTTGCCAAGATGAGAGAAAACTTGGAGGTTTTGTTGCCAGATGACCAATTCATTCCCCTCCTCCCACCGAGGGAGGAAACTCTGGAGCATGTAATTTTGTCTGAGCTGTGACTTATGTCTTCACAGATCGCACGTCCATCGTTAACCCTCCTGAGGACCGCGTGGTGATTAAGGGGACCACTGCCACGCTGCACTGCGGAGCCACTCACGACCCCCGGATCGCCCTCCGGTCAGTTCCATCACTTACGATATCTGGGGCTCGTTCGTGTCCAGGGAGCTTAGGAACTGACGTGAAGATGGGAAGGGAGAATGTGGGAAGCTTTGATTTCAGCCACAGATCCCTGATTATGGCATCTCACAGTCTTGGGCTCCATCATTAATCACACAAATCCCATTTTCTACTTCAGCCTTATGTATTATTTACAGTGAGCTATGTTCCACTTCATGACTTCAGTACAGCTTTTCATGATTTTTCTGCCAAGGTTAATACACTATCTGTAAAACGTACTTGTCAGAGGCTGATACTTAATGAGAGAAAAATCTGGAAGGATCGAATAGGATTTCAGTGGTGTTTACGCTGGGCCGTGCAATACTCAAGAGGGGTTTTCTCTGCTCTGGGATGGTTTTGTTTTGAAATGGGGAGCAAGGGAGACCCACACCCAGAAGAAAGGCAACCACAGTCCCCTCGTGCATATAGAGAAGTACTTGTAAAGATGGGACTGTGTGCCTCGAAGCTCCACTAAAGGCATCGGAATATCCAGTCTTTGTCTGAGTTCGGACGGGACGGTAGCAATGAAACATGTGACTTTTCAAGTAAATGTGTAACAGGAGACACAGGTGACCGTGGGTGGTAAGTTTCTTCCCAAAGAGTGGCCAATTTCAGAGTAGTTTTTAATTTTCAGAACCAGCCTGGAAAATAAATCTAGAAAGAAAGATAAAGTCCTCCTAGAATTGTCTCTCTGGCCTTAGCCCAGAAGGCATGCGCTTAGCCAAATGGATAGAATCGAGATGCATTCCTCCTTTCTGGAACGTCTCACTCTGGGCAGAGGGAGGTGGCGGCTGCCACATACATTATTAACTGGATTCAGAGACTGAGCTGCTTTCTCACTCTTCTTGGGCAGGTGTTTGGCAAATCATGAATTTCCGTGCCTCCACCTGGCTCTCTGGAGTTCCCCAGAGCTCAGAAGCCAAGTTTGGTTTAGTTATGAGAATGTCGGATACAAAACCAACAAGCAGAAACTAACAGTTTCAGGATTACCTAGGGAATCCATGGAGGTCATCTTCACGAGAGCTGTCACTCCCAGAAAAGAACCCGTTCATCTCTAAATGGTTTGGGCGGAGGATTCCAGAGAAAGGACAGATAAGCTGGTTTTCTGCTACTCTGTGAGCTTACATGGAACCCCTCTGGATCCATGTGGGTTTCTCAGAGCTTTTATGTGTGATTAAACAAACAAAATTGGAGCCTCCTTCCTGAACAGGACTGCAGTCACTCACTCTTGGGGCACCCCTCGTGCCCGGGTTTCTCTGCCCCAAGAGCATGGGTCCTAAGGGACAATCGCAGCTGGACACTGTACCCCCTAAGTGAGCAGTTTATTCATTTCTTTCTGGGGAGACCAGGTCTGTTCTGCTTCAGGGTACTGGCAAATAAGCAATTTATTAATGTCTGTGCTCTGTGCGTATTAAACCTTTAAAGAACTGGGTACGTTTTGTAAGTCCAGGCAAATTATTTTGGAAAGGAAAGCCAGCACTTTGATCCCAGCCAGCAGTGAGTAGTGGCTCCTGTCCACTGACAGCCAGATGCTGGGCACACTCTTACTTGCTCCTACATTCAAAAAGAAAAATGTGTGAATGTGGTCATAAATAAAAAATTAAATGAGAAAGAAATGCAGTTTTAAGGACGCTTTGCCAGAATGGTTGGATTTTAAGAAAACACGTTTATGGGGTATGATCTGTCGTTTTCTAGAAGTTGGGTAGTTCCCCTCTGAAGAGTTTTTGGACAGTCATTGCTTCCTCTCTGGTCAACAACCCCCTCTTCCAGGCGCATTCCTGGGTGGGAAGGTGAAGTAGATTTAGGAAATGACAAGTGTGATCATGACACGACAGACTTCCTTCTCTAAATCCAAAGACCAGATCAGTGTTCCCCATGGTCCTCCCTGACCCGTTTTTGACTTCAGCGTCTGTTGTTGTATTGTGACCAAGATAGCTCGTTGCTTTTCTTTTTTCTTTCTTTTGGATCTATTCCCATGTCATAAAATTCACCCATTTAAGGAGCACAGTGCTGTGGCTTCTGGTCCACTCACAAGGTGGTCAGTTGCCTGTGGCCCAGATCCTAACTCTAGGCTCTTGGCTGGATCCTAACTGGAGATCTTTTCTAACTCGTGACTCCGTGCTTGGCCTACAGCTACATCTGGAAGAAGGACAACACAGTCATCACCCCAGCTAGCAGTTCCAGGATTGTGGTAGAGAAGGATGGATCCCTCCTCATTAGCCAGACGTGGTCTGGTGACATTGGAGACTACACCTGTGAAATTGTGTCTGAAGGAGGGAACGACTCCAGGACGGCCCGGCTAGAGGTGATGTGAGTGTCGCCACCGTGTAGCCTAACTGCCTTGCCTCCCCATTATCTGCAGGATTACGGGCCACTGTCCTGACTTCCAGTGACTGTCACTTAACACACGTGGTGCCATAGTGGGTCCCAAGCCAGCACTCAGAGGCCATGGCCTTACATTGGGGTTTCACCAGATCCTCGAAATTAAAACATTGCACTCTTGGTTTAGAAAATTGATACTTGGTTTTCATTCTCCTCCTCTCTGTTTCCCTCATTTCCCCCATTGGCACCGCATCGTGCTGGGCCCTGTTCATTGCACCATGTGTGAGGAACACTCAGTCTGCTTTGTGGCATGATGCCTGTCAGCACTTGCCATCGGCGAGGAATGTTGGGGTCGGCCTGGTGAGACAAGTCCATTCCATGAGAGCTGGCTGCCTCTCTGCGGGGCAAGGACACACTCTCCATGAAGTCTCTGGAAGTCCTAAGAATAGCAAGAGGCTGACCTGGACTTCCTGGGGGTCCCTGGGGCCCAAGTGGGAAACTACCACCCTCCTCTGTCCCTGGGCCTTCTTTAGTACAGCTGCTCTCTGTTCATGGGCAGGGGCTGAGGAGCCTGCTGACAAATTCCCTTTCTCTGACATATTTATTTTTTGAAGAATGGTGTCCTCCCAGACAGTCCCTGAACAAACATCCAACAGTGACTCCAAAGATATGGTAGCCCTGTGAGTCCAATGTCCTAGGGCAGCCAGCTCTGGGGGTGCGGCCAGCAACCAACAGGGTCCTGCTGGGCCCGTAGGAAAGGTCTCTGCCCCTCCATCTGGGAAGGGTTCTACAGACAAAAGCCACTCCCGAACACATGGTGTGAATGGTTTGCATATAGGGTCAGTCTCATTTGTCTTTGGATCCCTAGACTCTGGCCAAGGGGATGAGAATGAGAAAAACGCAGGCTGTGTGCTACGCACAGCGTCCCGTGTCTGTTGCACACACCCATGAACAAGCGAGCAGACGGGCCACTTTGTGCTGGTCTCTCTTTGTGGAATTTGGTGGATTAATGATGTGTAGCAACAAATCCAGAAAAGTCTTATTTGTGCCTCTAGTACCTGGAAAAGCCCCTTCTACCTCCTCATTGGCCTCTGTAGGGTGACCCGTTGTTCTCGTGTGGGTAGACATTAGTCCTTTGTTAGTCAGGGAGCAGTGGGTGCCCTGCAGCCCCAGGAGACGTGTGGGGGGCTTGGTGCCACAGCCACAGGCCAGTGTGCTGGGGGCCGCTGTCCAGACGGCTGCCCGAGTGTGTATGGATGTGCCAGGTTTCTGCGCCCCAGCTCTAACCTCTGCACCTGCTGACCCTGGGCTCTCTGCCCTCCATGCTCACCTAGCCCTCGCCCGGAGTCTTAGCCTGCTGCTGCCTCCATGGTGGGGCCTCTGTCTTCTGCCATCCCCCCCTGAAGGGCTAATGCCTCCTCTAGGGCTCAACCAGGGGGTCGCCCCTGGGTCGGGACACCAGATGTCTCACAGCCTCCTGGCCCTCGAGTGGACCTTCTGCCAGAGCCCTGGTTGTCCGGGGGCGGGGTGTGAATTTTCACCATTCCTTCCCTACTGAAGCAGACACACCTGGATGGCACACCTTTGGACTCCAAGTGCCTGGCAGTGCGCTGGGACCCCAGCAAGGCTCCATAAATATACATTGGCTGGTAGATGTGCCCATGAATGGATAAATGTGTGTAGGTTACCGGCCACTGGCTGGTCGTCCTTCTGATTGGCTCTTCCCTCTGAGGCTCACACTCCCCAGGCTGTTCCTCCTAAGCACACAGGCTCGGATCCCACTATGGAGAGCTCAGGCCCCCTACTCCCAAACCCCTGTTCGGCTCTGGCCCTGTGTCTTTCTTCCTCCTGTCTTTCCTCCTTCCGTCATGTTGGGGTTTTTTTTTTTCATATTTTGATAATATTGGAGTATATGACCAGCAAATTCACATAATCCACTGTGCTATTCCCATTTTAAAAACTACCTTTGAGAACTCTTAGATCATCCATCATTGGTATCAAATAAATAAGTGTTAGCATTTCGTAAAGACTCTGTCAGCAGAAGCCAAATTACCTGCTTCCAATACAGTGCATGCTTTTTATTCCGCACAGTTTTTATGTTCTACTGATTTACATATCTTCCCTTCTATTTGCTTATTTGATTTCCTCTGAGTAAAATGCATTTTTCAGCAAATGTTGCTGTATCTATAAAATAATGGGCTTTCTGTAATGGTAAAACACCTCATCCCTAAATATAGAAATATTTGCAGATTTGTGATTCAAACCAATTTAGGTACAACGGGTTGCAGAGCTGATTTGGAAGCCCGTGGCTCCTTGTGAATTGTGAGTGCAATAAACACTCCACTCTTGCAAATCTGAATGAATTGAGGAAGCTGTAGGTTACAGCGTGGTCTATCTTTAGATCCAAATAGGTCTTAACTCTACATCAGTAATGACAACAGTAATGATAATAGTCATAAGTCACGATTGCATGGTGTTTTGTGCTTCTCAGAGAACTTTCAAATCAAGCTCCGTAACATTTCTGTGATTTACTGAGATGACCAAAAAAAAAGAAAAAGAAAAAGGGAAAAATCTCATATTGCAGAAGTGACTGAGAGGTACTTAACGGCTAAATAGTGTCCTTCAAAAGAGGCTGAAAGCCTGCTTCCCCTACCTCCCCACTTGAGCTAAAAGCTACTTTGTTAAATATAGAAATTAGGGGCGTCAGAAGTGGGCTTTGCAGAAGCAGACCGTCCGCTGGCTTGCTCTCGGCCTGTCTCGTCCGCTGGCTTGCTCTCAGCCTGTCTTTAGCGAGTTTCAGCGCCCTCCTCTGTGCCAGCCTGGCCAGATATGTATCGCCTTACCCCTAGGACAGTGCTGAAGAAGGCACAGTTCTGGCAGGACCACAGGGGCCAGCAGGTCCTCAGGGGGTGCCGCCCACCAGCCAGGCGGGACTGAACACCCTGCTTCCTGACTTTGGGCAAGTTAGCCGCCACGTCTCAGCCTTGGTTTTCCCTACCGTGAGCTGGATGTGTTGTCATGGCCATATAGGGCTGTTGTGAGGTTTGACTGAACCAGCGTTTGTAGAAGCCTGGCCTGGAAGCCAGTTTCAGGTGGGTACTCGATAAATCACAGCTCCTCTTCCTCCCTCACCATCTCACAAGAAGGGCCGTGACTCCTTCAGCAAGGGCAGCCTCCCCACACCCAGGGCCAGGAAGTTTCCCCTGTATCTTGCTTTCTCTTTGACCACACTCTGTGACCTTCAGACCCACTACGTATGTCTCTCTGCTGCTGAGCCCTCTGTGCCTGCAACTGTGCCAGGTATAAATGTCCCATAAACGTCAGACTGAGCCTTAACTCCCTCCCATGAGGTTGAATTGGGCTTGTGTAATTGGTATCACAGAGGAAGGCTAATTTATGAGGGGTCTGCCTTCATCGCCTCCCCAAGAGGAGAGACTCCCACAAATCCCCACGGTCCCATGTTGTGCCCTGTAAGTTAACCATATGCAGGCCGTCATGAGATGCCGGTCACTGATTGGGTGGCCGTGTCTTCCCTGCTAATTCACAGGTGCCTCACAGGAAGGAGCTAGGTTGGGATGGCCCCATACCCCAAAGCATCTTGCTATATTGAACACACCCAGGGGACCAGGCTCCTAGGGTTTTATGGATTGAGTAATTATTAATCATTTAAAGACCCAATTAGCTTTGCATCTTTCCTTCTGAGATCAGAGACTAATTCTTAGGAGCCTGGAGTACAGAGAAAAACCTAATTTATGGAGCTGACTTGACGATCAGTCCCTGAGGCAGTGGGAGAGGTTTCTCAATAAAGCAACATCTGACAAAGCCATAATAAGGAGTGAACAATTTAATACTGCTTCTCAAGGGCTCTCAGGCCCCCATCATCTTCATTCTCTGGGTGAGGTCGGAGAAGATGTGTTTGACCAGGGTCATCATTTGTGCATTAAAGGGACAGCACTTCCACCCGGAAAAATACTCAGTTGACCCTGTTCCGCACAGTGAATCCCCCCATGGCCACAATTTTGCCAATTGCTTCAAGTCTTTTTCAAAGCTGTTTTCCCCTAACACGCTTGGCTTAATCTCCTTCCCATACAGTCTTGGTTTCTTGTTCATCTCCAATAGTCTTGTGTTATAATTTGCTTGATGGTGACTCCCCCCCAGTTCTCTTTAAATTACAATGTGACTCAGCACCGACTTCACTGCCATTGCTCCCAGATCCCCTTTCATTTGTCACCCTGTCTGCATATCACTGTCTGTGAGTCACTGTCCTGATCATTTATCTCCTTTCAAAGTTGGCAGAGAAATGCCGAGACACAATCTATTCCTATTAGATAAGATTCTCTGAAATGGATTCAGAATATATTAAAGCCTCCTTTATCGGTTATTGATGGGTCAGTCAAGTATTGCACAAAGCTTAATTTTCTTGATAACCAAAACTTATCATTTAAGGAAACAGTTTACATTTCCAATGTATATTAAAAAGTTCTTTGCATTGAGAAGAAGATAGTACTGAACACAAGAGACACTATAAAGAGGATTTTCCTATAGGACTGAGGCTGGAACTAGAAAAAATCTAAATTTCCTTCCGACTCTCAAGTCCTGTAGTGTATGTAAAAGGTTACACTGCTCATTGGGCGACCATCTTGGGCGTGACCTTGAGCCCATGAAGAAGATTCTGTGGGGGCAGTGGTGGATGGAGGCTCATTGTTTCTTGATGCATCACATCATATCCTTGGGCACCACTGAGCTTGTGACTCCCTGTTCCTACATTAAATGTCTCAGGTCTACTTTGTCTTCATAGTTCCAAAGTCTTTTCAATCTCCCCTCCATCTCAGGCCCCTGGCTGCCATGTTGCCATTCAGAGTGCCCCCTTCTAGCAGGCTCTAGGGCCTTCTCGTTCTTGGTGGCTTTTGATCAGCGAGGAGGAGGGAAGTCAGAAACCACTCTTACTAGAATCAAGGGCTGAATGAGAATCAGCCAGCTCTGAGGGGCAGGCAGGGACTGTGCACAAGCACCCTCCAGGGGCAAGTGCTCAGGTCATTTTCTCTCACTCCTGGAGTGGCTGTGACTGGCCCACAGTCTACGGAACACTCCACTCGCCCAGAAAAAAGCTGTCTGGTCACCTGTCAGATTGGGCATTTCTTAGCTCTCATTTTAGGCTGAGAGAAGCATGATCTGAAATTGAGTGGAAGACCCCCATATTTTCCCAGGTGTGGGAAAGATGTGCTTTCAAAATTTAGAAGTGGATCCAGCGTGGCCCATGTAGGGCCACAGGACAGGGTGTACAGAGATGCAGTAGTTTCTCTGGGGCCGCAAGCTGACACTCCTGTTGTCTAATAGGAGCCTGTTTCCCCTACAGGCTTGGGTCCAGTTCATCTAAACTCAAGGTCCAGAAGGGCCATTCTGCCAGGTTTGTCCCCAGTATGCTGTGCGCCCCTTCGCCATCTCCTCTCAGAGCCTGGATGCCTGGCTCCCTCCTTAACCTCTCACGCAGCTTGTATCTCAGAATCTGTCCTCTCTCCCAACCAATACACAGATGTCGTGTGATATTTTATCCAGTCCCCGGGACAGTTTCCAGTGAGCTACCCTTGGGGTCCCGGTTCCAGCCCTGGAAAGTTGATGTCACAGAGCTAGCCCAGAAATTTTAAACACATGTGTCTCTTACTTGCCTTCCTCAGTGACCCAGCGCAAACCCTGCGTTCCCACCACTAGCCCCCAAACCACCCCCAGTCTTAGCCTTGCCATTAGGCCATTCTCCTTCCTTATCCTTTCTGCCTAAGGGAGCCCATACCCCTCCAGCCATGTGACACCCCCCCCATAAGCTGACCCTTGATGCAGCCCTGCTTTGCATTCCTGCCCAACATTATCTTCAGAACCATCCTGTGGCTCCTGACCTGAGGTGTCCCATCTGCATATGGACCTCATGTCCCTCCTTACGTAGCTTGTCAGCTCTGGGAGAGCAAGAAAGTAGCAGCGTCTCCCTTGGGATCCAGGGAAAGAAGAAAAGAAGGGAGGAGAGAAATTTCCTGCCCTAGAGAAAGGCAGATCCATAATCAGACAGGATACAGTGGGGTTCTGGCCCCTGTAGGGCTTCAAGATGTTTGGTGAATGGAAAAATCTATAAATTGCAATGAGAATCAAGAGGTAGAAGTGATTGGTTCTGCTTAAGAATGAGTCAAAGGTGAGAGGAAGACCAAGCCTCGGAGGCTGAGTTTCTGATTGGCGTGACCCTCCAGTCAATGGGACATCTCACGCAGTGGCTCTGCTCAGGGCGTTGCTGGAAGTTTGATGCTCTCAGGAGGGCACCCAGTGTGGGGAGGGGGCTAAAGAGTGTGGAAGGGGGTCACAGTGGATGCGGGAGCTAGCTCACGGCATGACCCTGTGCAGAGGCAGCCAGCAGGCCCTTCAGGAGGGTCGTATGTCATGGCTCTCGGGAGAGCCAGTGTCAGTTGAGCTGAGGCTGGTCTGTGGCAATGAGGGGCTGGTGTTCTGGCCATTTCTCAGGTACAGTAGGTCAGACGTAATGACTACTTAGATGCGTGTGACTGTGAACGTGGGAGCGGGGATGGGTGTGTAACCACTGATTGTGAGAAGGACGAGCAAACTAACACCCTGTTTTGGTGGGAAGAATAAGTCACGAGCAGTGTCAGCCTCCAGAAATTGTTCCTCTGAAATGTGTCCTTGGACTTGCCTCCTGCCCACTGTGAGATCCTCTTAGGACCTCCCAGCGCCTCTTTCCATCACCCTGGTCCTTCCAGGCTCTTACGGCTCCTGGATCTGCTTCCAATCCTTGGGGCTGCATGTACATCTCTCCTCCCGACTTGAAAGTGAGAGGGGGTGGCCCTCAGGCCAGTGAGTGGCCGTGTCCCGAGTGAACAACAGCCTGGGACACCAACTATCCCAGTCAGCCTTCCCGGTTAGTGTTCATCATGTGAGAAAACGTCATACTTTAGGGGAAGTCTTTACAGTGTGATCCTGATCCCCTCGAGTCAGCACGCACCCCACAGCTGAAGGGCACCAGCACCGCTCCTCGCTTCCGACACCAGCCACAGTTCCACGGCCCCCAGGCCACCTGTGACTCTGACCAGCTCACTAGCGTTCGGAGCTTCCCACGACCCCAGCAGGATGGATGACTGCCTAGAACAAGTCACAGAACTCTGTCAAGTGCCCTACTTAGGATATTTGTCTTATTATAATGGATAAAATCAGGTCCAGACATATGAAGAGAGGCAAGGGCAAGGTCTGGGAGGGTCCCCAACACACAGCTTCCACGTCTTCAGGAGGCGTCATCCTCCTGGCACACGGATGTCTGATGACTGACCAGGAAGCTCAACCAAGCTTGGTGTCCAGAGATTTTACTGGGATGTCCTAGTTGCTGGCCACATGACTGAGCTCAGTCCCCAGCTCCCACTCCTTCCCTTCCAGGAGATCACAAGGTCTGGCTGATCTCACTGGCTCAAAGACCCAACCCTCTAACCACATGGTTGGTCTTTCCAGCACAGTGAGTCCCCTCCTGGAACTCTACAGGGGCTGCCCTGAGTGCCGTTGTTGGCATAAACTCAGGTGTGGCCCGACGGGGGCCCCACGAAGATCAAAAACTGTCCCTCAGGAATTTCCAGGGGTTTAGAGTTCTACCTCAGGAACCTGGGGTGAAGACCAGACCAACTCTTGACGATACCACAGTCTTATTTGGGCTTATTTATCCAAGTTTATCTCAGTTTGTTGTCACGTGGGACTGTTTCAACAACTTTGGTCTAGGTTTCAGAGCAAACTGATCTCAATAGGAAATGGGGTGTGAGAGAAGATTAGGTATTTTACGCTGGCATTCCCTTCAGATTGGCCTTCACTGGGCATTTAAGGGAGAATCAGTAACTGGAGAACTCAAAGAGAAATAACAAACAGGTCCCTCTCTGATTTAAAACCAACTCACAATTAAAGAGAAAACAAGCCAACGTCTCGAACTCATGTTGCTTCTTTATTGTACTAATTTAAAGTTTCAGTCTATCCTGGAAATATTAGTCTGTTTATTAACAGTGTGCCTGGGTTAGAGAGAGCCGTGTTTCTTAGGTAGCTACAAGCATCTAACGGCTTAATAAATTTCACAATGAGTACGTTTTTAAAATTAAAAATCTCAAGCATAATTATGGCTCTTTGTGCTGACCTATGTGGGCCAGTAGTAACTGATGCCTAAGAGACCAAAACCTAGTTAGTGGGTGAATCAGGTCCACGTGGCACCCCTCTCCCAGCACCTCCTGGAGACATTTCTAGAAGAAACCGTTCCCAACAGTGGCCACAGGACAGGGTGCTGTCCCCGATCCGCGAGATGGAGAGGGAAAGCCCCAGTCTGGGGCCTCTTAGGATCGTCTGGCAGTGGACCCTTGGTGGCAGAAACCATGCAGCTGGATTTTGAAGCTTTGTCCCTGGTAAATCCCCGTAAACCGTTGGCAGTATTCATTTGCTCTCATTGTGTTTCCATTCTAGAGCCCTGCTGATGTGTTAGTTCCTGTTTCTAGGGCATTTATTAGTTACAGTTTTCTCTACATTCCCCTGAGTCCTTCCCCCAAACCCTGTTTGTTACCCAGCAGAAGATGGACTGAGCCCAGCCCCATGCCATCAATAGGGAGCCCTCCAGGAATTCATGCGGGCGCTTCAGCTAAGGACCCCATGTGCTAGCGTCCAAAACTCTCATGTTCAGTCTTACTCCCTAGCTTTTTCCTGGTGATGGCTTCCTGCATTTCCATGAACAGCTTCAAGTTGTAAGAACTAATTGCCGATGGAGTTTTCTCAATGAAATATCGTACTGTATTAGATACTGGCCCTCCCCACCCAACTAAAGTTAGAGTCGTCAGGTGCGTAATCTCCACGGGAAAGATCAGATCAAATTTCTGGTAGAAAAAACAACACTGTGAATGCGGAAGGGTTTTGGGGGGCAGTGGGGGAGGGGCATTTGGGTTTGGGGCATAGTTTATGTTCTCCGTCTTCCGGACGTTGCCCACCAGGACTGTGCTGCGTAAAGACCAGGCTAAACGTGGACTCTGATGTGCGCTCTTCTCTTTTTGTTCCTTTGTGCCCAAGTGAGCTGCCTCACTCACCTCAGAACCTGCTGGCCAACCTGAACCCTTCCCACAGCCACACGGTGATGCTGTCTTGGGTTCGACCATTTGATGGAAACAGCCCAGTGCTTTATTACATCGTGGAGCTGTCTGAGAACAGTAAGTAGCGACGCCGAGTCATTGCTGTGGACAGCAGTCAGATTGCTCTCTGCGCACGTGACACCCTCCCCCTTTACTTCGGCCTCAGACCCCGAACAACTGGTCAAATGCTACGGATGCTTTGCAGAGTTCCAGTGAAAACCCCAGCTCTGGCTTCGGGGGAGATAGAAGGTGACCTGGGCGCCCAGGAGGGATGAGAAGGAAGCCTGGGGTCTTCCCGTGAGAGCCCGGATCTGGAGGCCGAGGCGCCACAGGGAGGCCACGCACACACCCGTTCGGCACCGTCCCCCCGCGGACTCGGGCTTGGGGAACAGTCTGCCTCCACCTGGGGCTGGCTGGGAGCCAAGCACAATACTAGTTGGCATCTTTGCATGTTTCCTCTGGCGCAGACAAGGGCTAAGTATTCCCGGGGCTGCCCCTTCTCCACCTGTTGGCCTCAGTCAGTGTGTTCTGGCTTTGCTTGAGCCCTGCTGGTCCTTCCCTCCTCCCCATGGGCCATGTGACGGGCTCCCCCAGCATCTCTCCTCCCTGCCACCTGCAATCTCTTCTTAGGAAGTCATGGGCATTCCTGTGATTTCAAGGGATCTCTTTTCCCTGAAAAGAGATCTTGGTCTTCAGCATCCTTGCCCAGACCTCTGGAGTCAGGCACAGAGTGTCGTCCCTCCCCATCTCTGGTGGCCTCACGCTTCCGTGTGAGGCCATGTAAATTCTTCAGACTGTGATTTCAAGTCCTTTTAACTCTGGCGGTCTTCACCATGTTAGTGTGGGCATTCAAGTCTCGGATCCAGCCCCACGGCACCCTTGGGGAGGCCTGTGTTGCTCAAGCTGGCAGGCCAAGAGTCGTCCTTGGCTCCTTTCTCCTTTGCCCGGCCCCACGCCCACATCCCCAGCTCACCCACGCTGCTGGCTTGTGACCTAGGATGAGCCGGTCCCTGCACCCCTCTCCAGCTCTGTAGGCCCCGTTCTCTCTTACCAAGACAGCCTCTAACTTGTCCCCCTGCTTCTACTCTTCTCTTCCAGAGCATTTTGCCACAAGCAGAAACATCTTAAAACATGAAGGACTTGTCCTCCCTGGATACACCCTGCAGGGCTTACAATGAAACCCACAGTCCTGGGTGCCTGCATGGTAGCACCTGCCCCCGCCACTCTCCCTTTATCATGTTATCTCCCCCGTGCTCCCGCAGTCCTCCCTGGGCCTCCTCCATGGGGGAGTGAGCCAGAACACAGGGAGCTGGGCTTCTGGGACATCTGTGTCACGGGCCCATGGGTTGTCTTCTCAGGATATCGTTATGATAAATGGGTCTCTATTCCAGGACAGCTAGGAATGGCACCCTCTCGGGGTCCCATCACCTGAGTCAGGCTGGCAGAAGTGCACAAGGCTGGTGGGCCCTGCTCACTTCCGCGGGGGTAAGCATCCCACATCTCTGCTCTTACTCATGCCGACCCACCTGCACGTCCCATAATGAGTAACTTCACCTTCTCTCCTAATGATCTCTCACACTTGCCTGTCGTCTCCTACAAGAGATCCTCCTTCTGATCCCCACATGCTCACGCTGCAGCAGGTCCTGTCTGACACTCATGTCCCCGCAGAGGCTGCTAGCTCACGGGGTCGGTCGCTGGCCAGGGTCACAGGGCCAGTGGGAGGTGACGGCAGGGTCCCCCCGGGGCTGTCTGCCTCCACAGCCTGTGCTCTTAACGAGCATCGGGCAGCTACAGAGATGGTCCGTGGAGCAGAGTCTCCTCCTAGCACTTCTGCCGTGGCTCTGAGATGAATACGGACCCAGGATGGCACACGTAGGTTTCCATCTGTGCGGAGGTGAAAGGGACCCGCTCTGTGAAACTGCCTTCATTGAAGGGTGACGGCTCCCAAGATGGTCCCCTGAGGGAGGTCCCAGGAGCAAGATGTGAGTCCCATCGCCTGGGTTTCTCAGTTTGCACCCTTAGCTGTGATGGCTTGGGTTGTAAGCCCCATCTAAGAGCCAGGCATACCCGAGGTCCTGGTCCCCATTTCCCAGGGAACCCCTGACAGCCCACCTGGTCTCTTTTCTCAAACTCTGGGGGGTTGGGGTGCGAATGGAACCTGGTCTGCATGCCACCGTCCATCGTGGCTTCAGCTCCACAGCTCTGGTCAAGGGGGGATGGCATCGGCATTCTTTATTAAAATAACCTTCCTGAGATGATGAGGGTTTCCTGAGGCTGCTGTGCTCATGCAGCCTGTGAGAACCTTCTGTATGGAGATGGTGGAGGCAGGAGCAGAAGTGTTGCCTTCGGGGTTCAGACAAACACGACCCTGCTGGCCATCTGTGTCCTTGAGACCAGGACCAGTCTCGTCAGTCTCTGTCTCCTCAGTCCTGACACCTGGTGGGCACCTGGCAAGTGAACCAAAACAAATCTCTCTCTGGTCAAGTCCCTTTGTGACACCCTCGGACTACAGTCCTAGTCCCTCTCCCTTAAGACCAGTGCTCCACTCTCCTCAGGTTACCAAAATAAGACATCGTTTCAAAACACCATAACTGCTGTTTTCTCGGCAGACAGCAGGTGTGCTGGGTTCTTCCAGGAAGCAGACTTCCTGTGCCGTCACGCCTTCCACCCGTGCGTCCGCTCACCCAACACTAAATCCCGACCAGCCATCGGCTTCACCCGTGGCATTCTGCCGGCTGCTGGGCTGCAGGGCCAAGGTGATCCATCTCTGCTCATTAACAGCAGGGAGAAGGTCACACTCATCACCACATCCTGCCACTTAACGAGCTCCCATGGGAGGACTCCCTTGTGCTGTAAGACCCTGGTATAAGAGGGACCAGCTGGGAGGTGAAGCAGAGAACCTTCGAAGGGGACAGGGTTATCGCATGGGTCAGGCAGAGGACGGGGCAGCATTAGCAAAAGCCCCAAAGCATGAGCCTCAAGGCCCGGTGAGAATAGCCAGCTTCGACAGAAAATGGGGAATGGGCTGGGACATTGCCAGGTGCCGTGGAAGTGTTGGCCTGGGAAAATTCTCCCTCACTCTTCGTGTCCTAGCTCAGTTACGGCTTTCCTCCATACTGTCCTTGACCCTTGACCCAGGCAGGCTTCCTCTTTCCCTCTTAGGGGTCTCTGTACCATTATGTATGTTATCCCTCGAGTACTTGGCACCGTGTGTGATAGTTACTGGTCTACATGTGTGTCTTCCGGGGAGACTGTGAACCCCATAAGGCCGAGCCGGATTCTCCCTGTACCTGTGACAGCCGGCAGAGAGCCTGGCACACACGGGTCCTCTCTGTGGCCGTTCAGTCATTTCACATGCCTACAAAAGGGTCTGAGAACATCATTAGTCCCTCATTCGCATCTGGCTCTCCTGAGCTTTCTGGAGCTGGCTCCAACTCCCATCTGTTTTTCCTAGAGAGACTGTGATATAGAAGAGTCCAGAGTAATCTACACTCTTACTATTACTGCTCAAAATATTATTACATGAAGAACCTAGAGTGGAAAGATGTGCTTATCTGTGTGCTGATTCCGATTTCTACTGTGCAAAATACTTCTGTGGGCGTTGCCGAAACCGTTCACAGCCTTGCCGGTTGCATAGTGGGCCTTGTTTCTGCCACGCCAAACAGGAAGACCTGCACTGTCCCCTGCGCCAAGGATCTGGTTTTTATTTTTACTAGGAAGCAGTGCCCTTAAGAAACAGCTGAACGTGCTGGCTAATTCTGGTTAGAAAGAACAGCTTAGCAGCAATACACTAAAATGGAAATGGTATCTGGCCTACGTTCTGCACTGTGCCAGCAGACGACTCGAAATAACTCCATCCACCCGGCTCCTCGGGACACTCTCTGCAGCCAGCTCCTCCTGACAGGCCGGTCAGTATGCCGTTCTGGAAACCGTGGCTCCTGCAGGGGCCAAACTGGCATGGTTCCGTGGCGGGGCAGGCCCTTTGCAACACCTGCCCTCGCCACACGCCAGCCATGACCAGAGGGCCTCTCTAGAGCTTTCATGAAGCAGAACTCTGCAGCTTCCACTGAGCCTTTGTCTGTGCACTTGCCTGGAGTCGAAACCCTCCACGGAGAGCACGCTGGGCCTCATGGGCACCCAGAGGACTGCCTCTCTGTGGGGTGTGATCATTCTCCTCACTGAGTGGGGGTTCAAAGAGGGCAGCAGCGTCTGAAGGCCTGGTTCAGGGTACCTGCCCGGCAGGGCTGAGAGCACACCGGGTCAGCAGGCAAGGGGACCCTGGGGGTCCTGGGTTAAGAGAGCCTGATAGCAAGGATGCAGTGAACGGGTCGAGAATTCTGGTGAACAGCTAGAGCATTTGGCCCAGTCTCTTAAGTGCTTGTTGAGTTGGATCAAGAATAATCTTTCTTTGAGATGATTATGATAACAAGGCAGGAGACTGCCAGAAGAAACTGTGAGGGCTTTGAAGTGGACTCAGAGACAGATCAAACCCACATGACTGGGCGTCTCATCCGGCAGCCTTCGGGGCTGGCTGTCTCTAGATGTCCACACTTTCCATTGCTTTCAAGCTGTTCCACAGCTCCGCGGCTCGGACAGAACTGAAGGGTAATGCGAATGATTCTCATCCATAGAAATGCAAATAAATCCTGTCTGGGTTATAAGTGGGTCTTGCAGTAACCAGTTATCACCCTGTAGACATTAACCGGGTTTGCATCTATCTGCGAATTCATTTGGAGTGTGCACTTTGAATTCCCTTTTCATCCTGTCGGAGCACCTTACTGGTTCCTTCCTGAATTAATGAGCTGCCTAAAATCTTTAGCATGGGTTCGTTTTGTATTTGGACGAGAGCCGCAATTTTACCTTTTAAAAAAAATGTATCCTTTCAGATGCGTGAGTTGGCCTCATACAGTATAAGAATCACACGTACTCATCGAATGAGCTTTCGAGATAACCCTGATCTTTGGGAGAGGCGAACCTTGTTTTAATCTAATCCTCAAACTGAACCCTTTGCCTGTGTTCCCTGAGCTGCACTAAGGCATTTATTCCACTGCTGAAATAGAAGAGTTGAGGTCTTTCTC